ATGGTCTTGATCTCCTGACCTCGTGATCTGCCCGCCTTGACCTCCCAAAGTGCTGGGATTACAGGTGTGAGCCACTGTGCATGGCCCAAATATTTTAATAGATTAATATTCTGATAATCATATAAAAAATAACAAGAAAAACATTACCTCCCCTGAAGACCATTCCATTTGCCTTACTGAGTTAAGATGTATTGTTCAAATCATAATATTTTTATGATGATACAAAATATAAAATTTCATAAATTAAAACATAAGTCAAATGCATTAAGAGTATTCTATTAATACATAAAAGAATCTCCATGGCGAAGTGTTTTGGTACACTACAGACTCCTTTTGTTAAGGGATCCTATCAACTCTCCCATCTTTTTGTGACATTTCAAACGCTAAACTTTGCTTACGAGAGCATTAGCTAAAATCCTGTGATTCTGAACTATGACATGCACTAGCATCCTACCTTTCATCTTGCTCAGGAGAGACAGCATTTTATGAAGACAGCAGATAGACTGCGGTTTATCCAAAATATCCTTTTCCTTAGAAAGCCAAACACTCAGGAGCAGAGACTGAAATCAAATTTAAATCCTTTTCAGTCTAAAAAAAAATTTAACATAGACAAAATCTTATACTTTCCTAGACAGCAAATGCATGCATATGGATGATGCAGCTTCTTGAGGTGAAAAAGTAAGTGGTTGCTTGTCATATCATGCAATATGAGAGGGAGAACGAGGTACCTTGTCTACCTAAGAGATTACAACCTGTTGTCTATTTAAACTTCACTGTTTCCAACTCTTCTTCGTTAAGCATTGCCTTCCAATCCAAATCTCTATGAAGGAGCATATTATCAGAAAGGAGTTACTACCACGTGAGCATAAATTTGCTGTTTTTTTTTTGAGATGGAGTTTCGCTCTTGTTGCCCAAGCTGGAGTGCAATGGCGCAATCTCAGCTCACTGCAACCTCTGCTTCCTGTGTTCAAGTGATTCTCCTGCCTCAGCCTCCCATGTATCTGGGATAACAGGCATGCACCACCACACCCAGCTAATTTTTTTGTATTATTAGTAGAGATGGGGTTTCTCCATGTTGGTCAGGCTGGTCTTGAACTCCTGATCTCAGGTGACCCACCTACCTCGGTCACCCAGAGTGCTGGGATTACAGGCGTAAGCCACCATGCCTGGCGGATTTGCTGTTGATTAACAAGGTGCCACTGGCTGTAGGGTTTGACTGAGAGACTCACCCAGATCTCTCAGTCCAGGAGTCAGAGCCTCCCTGACAGGCTCGCCAACCTCTGTCTCACTCCTAAGGGGATCTCAGCTCAGGGCCCTCTCACTGCAGTTAGAGAACTATCCTATCTGTGCAGGAACTTGCTGGAAGACACCCCTCTCTGAGCCAACATGAGACACACCAGCCTCCATTCCCACAGCTGATCTTAAGAGGGCCCAGTCTCAGCTCGAGCCCCTCCTGTTGCAGTCAAGGAATTACCTCACTTGTGCAGGAACCTGCTGGGTGACACATACCCATCCGAGCCAACAAAACAGGTCGGCCAGGCTCGTTTTCACACAGATCCTAAAGGGGTCCAGTCTCACTTCTACCCCCTCTCACTACAGCTGCGGACCCATCCACCTGTACAGAGACCTGCTAGGATGCAGATGCACACGTGTCTGGGCCACCAGGACAGTCTTCTGGATTCAGATTCCTGGCCAGCATTCCCACATAGCATCAGCACCCTCCTTGGGTCTTCTGTCAGTCCATGAAGGCTGGAAAGCCACATAAACCTCAGAGCTCTTGAGAAACATGCAGCAAGCCTGGGCTTAGGGTATCGTCTAGTACTGAGACAGCTGCACTGGGCACAAGCTCAGGGAACATAACAGTTAGTCAGCTCAGAATCCCTGGAAGGCCCTCTGAGGAAGGCCAAGTAAAAACAAAGCCAGGTTGTGAATACTAAAGTAAATACCTAATATATCAATGCATAGATACCACTATACTTCTACAAGCATCAAGAACATTCAGGGAAACATGACCTCACCAAATTGACAAAGTAAGGCACCAGAGACAGAACCTAAAGTGAAGGAGATGTGTGATCTCTAAGACAAAAGAATTCGAAATAGCTGTTTAAGGAAGTTCAACAAACTTCAAGAAAACACATACAATCGATTAAAAAATGTATCAGAGAAATTTTAAAAAGTTTGAAATACTAATGAAAAAATCAAATAGAAACCTTTGAGGTGAAAAAGAAATAAAATGAAAAATGCAGTAGAGAGCATCAAGAGCAGAATTGATCAAACAAAAGAATCAGTGAATTTGTTGATAGATTATTTGAAAATACATAGAGAAGAAAGAAATGAATGAAATGGAATGAACAAGGCCTACAGGAGCTACAAAACAACATCACAAGAGCAAATTTGGGGTTACTGAAGTTAAAGAGAGAACTGGGAAAGACAAAGGAGTAGAAAGTTTACTCAAATAAATAATAACAGAAAACTTTCCAAACCAGAAGATATATATATATACAGGTCTAACAAGGTCAAGGGTCACCAATCTGAGTTAACACAAATAAGAATACTCTAATTTACAAACTCATAAAGGTCAAAGACAAAGAGAGAATTTAGAAAACAGCAAGAGAATAGAAGCAAATAACATATAAGATAGATCCAACATGTTTGGTAGCAGATTTCTCAACAGAAATCTTACAGGCCGAGAGGACGATATGTTCAGAGTGTTCAAGGAAAAAAACTACCACCTAAAAATACTGTACCCAGCAAAGTTATTCCTCAGAAATGAAAGGGAAATAAAAGATTTCCTGAGACAGATGAAAGCTGAGGGAATTTATTGCTATCAGACCTATCCTACAAGAAATGTGTGATCTCTCAGACACTAAAGGGAGTTCTCCAAACTCAAAGAAAATGATGCTAATCTGACTGCTGTACTAGTACTGTAATCATGGTGTTTAAACCACATATATCTTTAGTAAGAAGACTAAAGAAAAAACTATCAAAAAATAATAACAATTTGTTAAGAGACAATATAAATAATGTAAAATGATGACACCAAAAATGCTAAAATGCAGGGAGAAGGGAGTTAATCTGTATAGGTTTTCTTTTTATGGTTTGTTTGTTCCTTTTCTGCAATCGAAGTTAAGTTCGTATCAGTTTTAAATACTTGTTGTAACTAGGACTTTTTTTTAAGCTTCATGGTAATCACAGCACAAAGCCTACAATAGATACACTAAAAAAAGCAATACAATAAAAAAAAAAAAAAAAAAAAAAAAAAAAAAAAAAAAAAAAAAAAAAAAAAAAAAAAAAAAAAAAAAAAAAAACCAGGAAAAAAGAAGAGGAGTTACATAACAACTAATAAACAAGTAACAAAATAGCAGGAGTAAGACCTTACCTAATAATACTGAATATAAGTGGGCTAAATTCTCCAATTAAAAGACACAAAACGACCTGGGCACAGTGGTATGCACCTATAGTCCTGGCTAACTGGAAGGCTGAGATGAGAGAATTGCTTAGACCCAGGAACAAAAATAATAATAAAAAAACACAGAGTGACCGAATAGATTAAAAAACAAAATCCAAGCATATATCTGTACTGCATATAAGAAACTCACTTCACCTATAAAGACAAACAGACTGAAAGTGAAGGAATGAAAAAAGGTATTCCATAAAAATTAAAACCAAAAAAGAGCAGAAGCCATACGTAGATCAGAAAGAACAGACTTTAAGTTGAAAACTATAAAAAGAGACAAAGGGGAGGTTGAGGCAGGAGACTCCCTTGAACCTGTGAGGTGGAGGATGTAGTGAGAGCCAAGATTGTGACACTGCACTCCCACCTGGGTGACAGTGACTGTCTCAAAAAAAAATGGAGGGGGCAAGACGGTAACTATACAATGGTGAAAGAGTCAATTCAGGAAGAGATCTATCAATAGTTAAGTATGTATACACACAACAATGGAGCACACAAATATATAAAGCAAATATTAATATATCTAAAGGGAGAGACAGACTTCAATACAGTAATAATAGGGGTCTTCAATCTCAATTTCAGGAATGGACAGACCTTCCAGGTAGAATATCAACAAAGAAACATCAGAGTTAAACTATATACTAGACCATATGGACCTAATAGACATCTATAGACAATTTCACTTGCTGCTGCAGAATACACATTCTTTTCATCAGCACATAAAATATTCTTCAGGACAGACCATATGTTTACCACAAAACAAGTCTCAACAAATTGTAAAAGGTCAAAATCATACCAAGAATTTTTCTGATCACAACAGAATAAAACTAGAAATCAGTAACAAGGGGAACTTTGGAAACTGCAAAATATAGATATTAAACAACATGCTTCTGAACAACCAATGAGACCAAAAAAACCAACTAAAAAGAAACTTTAAAAATTTCTTGATAAAAATAAAAATGGAAATACAACATACCAAAACAATGAATGCAGCAAAAGGAGTGCTAAGAGGGAAGTCTATAGCAATAAACACCTCAAAAAAAAGACTCCAAATAAGCAATCTAACAATGCACACCTCAATAAACTAGAAAAGTAAGAACCAACCAACCCAAAATTAGTAAAAGAAGTAATAAAAATCAAGCAGAAATACATGAAATTGAGACTTAAAAAATCACAAAAGAACAAAAAAGTTGTTTTATTAAAAAATAAACAAAATCAACAAACCTTTAATTAGACTAAAAAAAAAAGAGAAAAGACTCAAATAAAGAAAATCAGAGACAAAAAAGAAAACATTACAACTGATACCACAGAAATACAAAGGATCATTAGAGATTTATGCCAACAACTGCAGAAAAACAGAAAACCTCAACGAACCAGTAATGAGTAACGAGTCTCCCATCACAGGAAAGCCCAGGATCTGATGAATTTCTTGTTGAATTCTTTCAAACATTTGAAGAACAACTAATATCAATTATACTCAAAGTATTTCACAACACTGAAGAGAAGGGAATACTTTCAAACTCATTTTATGAGGCCAGCATTATCCTGATACCAAAACCAGACACATACATAATAAAAAAACACATTAAACAGTCAACAAGCTCACAGAGATAGGATCCCCAAATCCTAACATTTAACATGTGAATGGAGGCCAAAATATAACATGTGAATGGAGGGGTTTGAAAGAGTGTGCATTTGGCACTCTGTATCCATGCATTCCACATCCGTGTATTCAATCAACTGAGTCAAAAATATTCAGGAAAAAAGATGGATGGTTGCATCTGTACTGAACATATACAGACTTTTTCTTGTCATTATTCCCTCAACAATACAGTTTAATAATTTACATGGCATTTATGTTGCATAAGGTATTATAAGTAATCTAGATACGATTTAAGATATATGGGATATAAGGTATATGGGAGATGTGCATAGGTTACATGCAAATACTACACCATTTTAACTTTTTTGTTTTTTTTTAGAGACAAGGTCTCACTCTGTCACCTAGGCTGGGGTGTAGAGGTGCAATCATAGCGTATCCTTGACCTCCATGACTCAAGGGATCCTCATGCCTCAGCCTCCTGAGTAGCTGGGACAACAGGGACATGCCACCATGCCTGGCTAATTTTTTACTACAGCATTTTATATCAGGACCTTCTGTAACCGTGGATTTTGGTATGGTGGGGGAGTTTCCTGGAACCAATCTTCCATGGGTGCTGAGGGACAGCTGTGTATGTATAGATGTGCAGGGGATGTAATAACAAAAAAGAACAAGGAATATGGGGTAACTTTCCTTTTTTTTCAGAAAGGGCAAAAATTTAGTGTTGTATTTTCTCCTTGGATGATTCTTTTGTTTTATATTTGTTATATTAGAGATTACATTCTAATATATATTCAAAGTTTGAAAATGTTTGATAACAATTTCACGTTGCTTTAAGGGAAGTTTATTTTGTTTTAAAGATCTTTTTCATTGTAACATGACTTTTTTTTACTGATGATCCAATTCTACTGTAAATGCATACATATAGATGCCAAATTTATTTTAGGCCAACTATAGAATATGCTTCTTAACATTTACAGAAAATTGGCCAGGCACAGTGGTTCTTGTCTGTAATCCAAAAGCTTTGAGTGGTAAAGCAGGGAGAATCACTTCAAGGCAGGAGTCTGAGACAGCCTGGGCAACAGAGCAAGACCCCCATCTCTATGAAAGTAAAAAAAAAAAAAATTGCCTGGCATAACGACATGCGCCTGTAGTCCCAGCTACTCAGGAGGCTGAGGTGGGAGGATGGCTTGAGCCAAGGAGGTTGAGGCTGCAGTGAGCTATGATCACACCATTGTACTCCAGCCTGGGTGACAGAGCAAGACTCTCTCTCTCTCAAAGTAAAAGAAAAAGAAAAAAAATATTTTTACAGGGTATAAGAAAAATAAAATAATGTTACTCTATTAAATACGGTGATTAAAAGTTTCTTTGATCATTTTTAGAATATCATTTGATCATTTTTAGGATATCATTCTATGATATCCTAAAAGAAAATGGTTAAAAAAAAAAAAAAAGACTGACACTTCTGGATGACATTCAGAAGGAAGAACAGCATCCAGCAACCAAAAAAAGCCTTACCAACAACAGCTGAGGGCTAAGTCCAGCCGACTCCAAAGTGTGACACATATCCTCAGTGGAGCTTTCTCCATGCAAACACTTCCAAAAGAAGAAACTGCCTGGTAGAACAAAAACAAACCACATTAATCAATGACTACTTACCATGTGGACTAACCATCTTATTGAATCACAATCTGGAATTCTAGAGAAGCAAAACATTATGAGGAAAGAGAAATTAATGGTTCAATTTGCTTGATTTATTAAAGCAGAAAGCAAATAATGATCTACTACTGTCTCTTTAGTATACTTACTAATACAACCTGTTGAGATCAGAGTATCTTTTGTTGGCCAAAAAATACAGTACATTAAATCCTTCCATTAATTAAATTTCAAAACAAACTGAATCTCTGACATACTATTATGTTCCTTAAATGCTTTCTTCTAAAAGAGGAAGGATACAAAGAACAGTGTATTATTTTACGTACCTAAAGCCACATATTCCTCTTCACTAATCTTCTTTATGTTGAGTACATCCTTTTCATATTCTAAATATTCCAAAAATGTTTTTACAGGTAACACACCATCTTTATCATCAGAAAATCGAACATTTGTCCTGGTGTTCTCTTGCTTATATTTCTCTAGTAGTGCCTGGAGCTTAAGCAGTTCTTTTTCATCAAGCCTTAGTAACACAGCCAAGTCCTTTAAAAGAGAGAACAAAAACAAAAAAAAAAACAGCATTCCACATCTATCAACCACATTATCTGAACTGAAATTCAAGGCTGTCAGCAAAAATTAATTAATTTTTAATTAATGACTTTTAAATTAATATAATAGCTATCATATCCTCTGCTTAAAACTTTACTTACAAATCACATTTCATGAATAGGAGGTTCTTTAAATAAAGTAATCTTGAAACACTACATACTACTAAAAGTACCATTTTAGCATATTTCTTAAGGGTACTCTACTCTCTGCTAGAATGTTAGTTTTCTTTCTTTTTTTTCTTTTTGTAAGATAGGGTCTCACTTTGTGACCCAGGCTAGAGTGCCTTGGCACGATCATGGTTCACTGTAGCCTTGACTTCTTGAGCTCAAGTAATCCTCCTGCCTCAGCTGCTTGAGTAGCTGGGACCACAAGTGTATGCTACCACATTCAGTTAATTAAAAAAAATTTTTTTTTTTTTTTTTTTTTTAGAGACAGGGTCCCACTATGTTGCACAGGCTGGTCTCAAACTCCTGGGCTCATGTGATACTCCCACCTCAGCTTCCCGAAGTGTTGGGATTACAGGTGTGAGCCATTATGCCCCGGCAAATGCTACAATTTTAATAAACTGCGCCGGGCGCGGTGGTTCACGCCTGTAATCCCAGCACTCTGGGAGGCCGAGGCGGGTGGATCACGAGGTCAAGAGATCGAGACCATCCTGGTCAACATGGTGAAACTCCGTCTCTACTAAAAATACAAAACATTAGCTGGGCATGGTGGTGCATGCCTGTAGTCCCAGCGACTCAGGAGGCTGAGGCAGGAGACTTGCCTGAACCCAGGAGGCGGAGGTTGCGGTGAGCCAGGATCGCGCCATTGCACTCCAGCCTGGGTAACAAGAGCAAAACTCCGTCTCAAAAAAAAAAATTTTTTTTAATACACTTGTATTGTTATATAATCAGAAAAAAATGTAAAAGCGTGTCAAATGCAACTCTTACCATTCTGAGGAAACTAAATATTTGAATTTAAATGCTTAGTTATCAAGCAGTATAAACACTATAAAATAAAAACATAGAAAAACAGTTCTCATTTTATCTACATATAAGTCCTGTATGCGGCTCTCAGGGATATAACCTGCTAGGCTTTCAAATTATTTTTATATACCATATGTACAAAAACATATCGTGGATGGGCATAGTGGCTCATGCCTAAAATCTCAGCACTTGTAAAAATAATGTAAATTTAGCAGAAAGGTACAGAGCTACCAGGAGGCTTGGTAAAGAAAATATACCTCTAAAGCTTTAAAAAAATTCTTTTTATTTTTCTTTTTGAGACAAAGTCTCACTCTGTGGCCCAGGATGGAGTGCACTGGCACAATCTCAGCTCACTGCAACCTCCGCCTCCTGGGTTTAAGTGATTCTCCTGCCTCAAACTCCTGAGTAGCTGGGATCACAGGCACGTGCCACCACGCCCAGCTAATTTTTGTATTTTTAGCAGAGACGGGGTTTCACCATATTGGACAGGGTGGTCTCAATCTCCTGACCTGTGATCTGCCCACCTCGGCCTCCCAAAGTGCTGGGATTACAGGCATGAGCCACTGCACCCTGCCAAAAAAATTCTTAATTTTCTACTTGTTTACTACTGATTTTAAAAAGTAAAACTA